GTTTCGCCCATGATACTTTTATGCGTGGCCATTATGAGGACTCAGATGTTTTCCTGTGTCCAGTAAATTAAACAAAAATCCCACCCTTGTATGAAACACAGCCATGCAAACACAACTGCTTCACGGTTGAAACACGAATGGGACAGAAATCTCTCCAATCGACTTTTGTATTTTAAATTGTCTCCCTCTTTAACATAAAAAAAATCTATATTATTATTAAAACTTATGTTAATTTCTTATCCGATGTCTGTATACATATATAGTGGGAAATTAATAAACTCACTTTGTTTTGCCATTTCCACCGATTGTTTCCATTTCATTCGGAGTCTTCTTCAGGAGGCGTGCCGTCGCGACGCTTTGCGTCACAGCGCCTCGCCAAATCTATTAATTAATTTCCTTAAATCAATATTAATTCATTTTACTCTCACACGAAGTTACTGTTTAAAGTACAAAAAAAAAAAAAAAATTAAGTCATCAACTAATAAAATAAATATGTATTATAGCTGCATATGTAACGACTCGTCTTTGTCGTTCGGGACCTCGTGACTGGTCTCCAGTCGCATGATTCGTTGATTAAATTATTTCTTTATTTCTTAGTAAGAATACCGCACCATGGCCCTTAAGCTAAGTCGTACATGATTTGTAAAAAATATGTTTTTGGACACAGCACACTGGCCGAATGGTTCGGTTTCCCTTTCTGTGTAATATTTTTTATTTGAACCAAAGGGTTACAAGATAATGATATGTTATTAATACAATTTATTTTAATAGATTTAATTGTATGTTTGTGAAGCAATCGATTTAAATATTTAAAGAAATAAAAATGATCAATAACGTTTTAGCTTTTACACAATTAGTCGAAATTCTTTCAACATAACAAACTTAATTACCATCATCATCGTCCAGCTGTTAATTGGCCATTGCTAAACATAGGTTTTCCTTTTGGGTGATTTTGACCGTAGTTGCCAAACTTGGCAAATAGGTTGACAACCGCTGTTAGGCTTTGGTGATGTTTAAAAAGTACGTTGCTGTCCATCCCTCGAGCATTAAGTGCCCTTAGTGGCCTCTTACGACACCTACGGGAATGGAAGGGTGGTCCATTCTATGCCGGGACCACGCGACTATATTGACTAGTAATCTTATTGATCTTATTTTAAAATTACGATTGTGTTTCACAAAATATACCGACTTCAGTTGTGGCAAAACTAGTTATTATGATTTCAAAACTAAACTGCTGAACCGATTTTGATAAAATATATCTATAAGATTAATCTGTAAATATATATTTTAAATAAAAAATTTTTTTTTATTTTTTATACAACTTAGAATGGCAAACAAGCTGACGGCCCATGATGGAAAGTGGTAACCGTCGCCTATAGACATGAGCAGTACCATGGACATAACAGAGTATAATTTCGCCCATGATACCCCCATGCGTTGCCATTCCTGAGGACTCAGGTGTTATTCCTCTGTACCCTGTAAATTCACGCCATATCCCACCCTTCAAACCGGAACACAGCCACGCAAACACAACTGCTTCACGGTAGAAACACGAATGGGAAAGAGGACAGAAGACAGACTAAATCGATTCATAACTGACAGAGAAATACTGGGGAATTACGAACCTCCTTCTGTTCAAGTTGGTCGAAAAATCAGACGAATTCGGAACCTCCTCCTTCTGGAGGTCGTTTAAAAATAAAAATCTAATTAGTTACTCTCAATAATAAATGTTTAAGATCAACGGATATTGTCAGCTCTGTATAAATACATTTGCAAGAGAAATCGTTGTTGGTTTATCTTTGTTCATAATCTCCAAAACTTTTATCACTGACCGAAGAATATTTACATATATATGTGTAAAAAAGGTTATTATACATTATTAGTGTTAATTTTGTCCTTATTAATTTTGTAAGGACCCATCCACATTGACCGGGACGAAGCGAAAATATTTGATAGATATACGAGTATATATATACATAATTTTTTGCATTACTTACAGTACACAAATAAAAACTGACATAGATTGACAAAAGAGAAGATGCATTCTTCTATATAAAATGAAATGAAAAGCATAGAAGATGCAAAGAAATGCATAGAAGAAGTAACATAACTTTCCCTTTCGTACGTGTGCCACAGTAACTCAAAATGGTTACAACTCACTTTATCCATTTGCGCTCAAAAGAGCAAAACTATAGTAATAGTTGTGGCTATAATTCAACTCAATTTCATAATAATTTCATTTTTACTTAATTATTCAGGACTTATTCCATTATTAAAGAAATATTATAATTTTTTTTTATACAACTTAGAATGGCAAACCAGCTGACGGCCCACCTGATGGAAAGTGGTAACCGTCGCCTATAAATATACAATGGACATAACAAAACTGTTTCGCCCAATACCCCCATGCGTTGTCATTTGAGGACTTTTACTGTATTATAAATATATTTATTTATTTATATCTACACTATTTTTATAGGTACATAAATCAAATATCATTACTTTGTATAAAAAGTGGTGTAAAGTGGCTACAACTTTTTTTGATACTGATCACATTATTTACCAGAATCTGGGATACAAAATTAATATTGGAAAGTAAACTATACACAATTAGTCAAAGCCTGTTTAGTTTTTTACATATAAGAAATTAAAAATATAATTAAAGATCGTGTCCTATAAAAAAAAAGGACTTTAATTGTGACAAAACCAGTTGTGTTGATCTAAAAAAGAGTTTATTTGTGCTTTATTATTTTCATTCTTTTATCTATTTTGCTGCGTATGATGTGTATTTTTTTTTATTGTAATTTGTGTGCTGTAAGTAATGTAAATAAATTATCTATCTATCTATCTATGAGATGACACACTTAAATAAAATACAAAGTAATCGATTCTTTTTGCAGTAAGTCGAAAATCGCCGTCACATGCATTCAGTGTGGATCACTCGTTAAACCAACCGGTGGATATATAAACAAGTCTTTTGATTAGATAAAATGTGGATAAGAAACGCAACGAATACCTTCCCAGAATTATTTCGAAATAATTGTGTGGAATTTTCGAGAAAATCCACAAGATCGCCGACCGTTCGCGGCGAGATATTTTTTGCGGTGAGGTGACAGAAACTTGAGGTCGCGTTTTTTTTTTAATGGTACGTAATAAACGCAATTAGCCGCCGCGGGAGCTCCTTGTGTTTACTGACAACACTTTGGGATAGGTATCTATCTATACATATAAAATAAAAATGTAGAAATCAAATGTCTGTACATAGAAAAAAAAAACGCTAAAAACCGAGTCAGGGGGATGTTAGAAGTGAAGCCGAGGCACACATACGTGAGTCCATCAATGCCTAGTTGTGGCCAAGGCTTGTATAGTACTTTTCTCAAACAATGCGCGGAAATCAAAAACACAATTTTACTTTTTAATTTCAATGACGAATAACGAACAATAATAATTTTTCACGCGCCATAATGTTTCTCTGTTTTTTTTCACATTTCCAAGCATGTTTGAGAAAAAAAAATTAGTCTATGCCCCTTACCATCCCAAAAATTTCGTGTATACGTACAAATTTATTGTCTGTCCCATTCATGTTTCAACCGTGAAGCAGCTGTGTTTGCATGGCTGTGTTTCGGTTTGAAGGGTGGGATATGGCGTGAATTTACTGGGTACAGAGGAATAACATCTGAGTTCTCAGGAATGGCAACATATGGGGGATATCATGGGCGAAACAGTATACTCTGTTATGTCCATGGTACTGCTCATTTCTATAGGCGACTGTTACCACTTTCCATCAGATGGGCCGTCAGCTTGTTTGTCATTCTAAGTTGTATAAAAAAATATATATAGAAAAATCTATTCTAAATTAAGATACCTACTCGTGTGCCAAATTTAATTCATATCCGTTGATCAGTTTTTGCTTAAAACAGTAGTAGAACAACATTCATCCATACATACATACATACATACATTTTTTATGTGACTTAGAATGGCAAATAAGCTGACAGCCCAAAAGATGGAAATATATAAAAAAATTGCATTTATAATAGTGGTAGGGCTATCATCATCATTGGCACAGTTAATACTGTATGGTAATTTGCCATCACCGGTGATGGTGATGATTAACCCCGCAACAGCCGTAACGGGTCATCTAGAGCATCAGATATCCCATTGTTGTGGGCGGCGAGTCAGTAATATATATTTAATTGTAACGCCCAATGCACGCCCACTTGATATTTGGTGCAGCTTTTTAAAACAACCTATGGCGTGGAGTCGATTTGAAATTATATTTTCGATTCTAAATTTAAAATTTAACTTTGCGACGGTTATTTCTTTCCGTCGCATGGGCCGTTAGATTGTTTGCCATTCTTATTTGCGTAAAATAAATTCTATATTTCCGATTCTAAATATATTTAAATACATTTTAAATTTAGAATACTAATACGTGAAGCAAAAACCTTGTATCCTTTTTTATGAAAATTGCGCGGACGGAAGAGTAGGAATTTTTTTTTTAATTATGCATTATTATACATTACACACATTATCATGTATTTGTTACAAATATGCATATATATTTTTTGCTTATTATTAGAGTTGGTGGTCAAATTAAGAATAGATTAATATTATTTGTCTATAGTCTTACTGAATGTCAAATATAACCATAATGAATTCATTTGTTACAATATATGTTATGGTCGAATTTTGACCACTGAGTGACCACTGTTTTTATAAAATACCGAATATATATATATATATATATATATATATATATATATATATTATCAAGGATCTAACGAATAATTAGATATTTTACTAGCAGTTAAATTTCATTACAAATTGATCAGATTTCTTTCAGAGAGCTCCAGGTGGTCTTATTTGGAAATCTAGAAAGTTCTAACTTGATTTTAATCTCACTTATCAATTCTCCACTCATATCCAGCTAACACAAACTGTTAAGGTGTTAAGGTTCACTTTTCAATATCAATTTAAGGTGCAAGAAAACACACGTCTTTACTGAAATGGATATATTTTCAACTAACTTCAATTTCATAACATTGTTGCTTTTAAACCTACGACGAGACAATAGTAATAGAATGGCATGAAGTTAACCAGTGTTTGTTTCTATTGTTGACATTATAAGTAAATTACGTTAACATGCCGCCCACCAAAATGACTGTAAGTCTTTTTAAACGAGAATTTAAACAAATAACAATATATCTCATGCACATATATATAACAAATATAAAAGGTAACAAAATATTGTAGTATATAAATTAATTTATAAAATATTAACAACTACATACAAGTTCATTATTTAGAATCAGTTTCAATGTCCACAGGTAAATAACACAGTTTGCTAATAGATCTTTTTACAACACTGTTACCACTTTTCACACTGTAAACTCTAGTAATTCCATCATCTCCAGGGTGTTTTTCGAGCACTCGTCCTAGAGCCCATTTACCAGGCGGTAGTAGGTCATTTTTAATAAGAACTATTTGTCCGATAGCAAATTCCTTTTCTTTTTTAAGCCACTTTGGTCTTTGTTGAAGTCTAGACAAATATTCTTTCTGCCACCGATTCCAAAAATCTCTTAGTAATTTTTGTGTATGTTGCCAGCGGGATATGTTACTAACTTTAACATGCTGTAAATCTGGATTGGGAATGACAATAGGTGCTTCGCCTATCAGGAAATGTCCCGGTGTTAAGGGTTGAATTATGTCACCTGAGTCATCAATCGGACAGAGCGGTCTAGAATTTAGGCACGCCTCTATTTCACAAAGAATGGTGGTCATTTCCTCAAAAGTCAAGTGATTGGTTAATATTCTTTTTAAATGGTACTTAATTGATTTCACGCCCGCTTCCCATAAACCTCCGAAATTTGGGCTATAAGCAGGGATGAAATGCCATTGAGTACCATCGCACGCCAAAGATTCAGCAATTTCCCCTTTAAATTCTAAACAAGCATCCTTCCAGGCAGTTACTAACTCCTTATTTGCTCCTATAAAGTTTCTCCCTTGATCACTCCATAAATGGGAGCACTTTCCTCTTCTGGCAGTAAACCGTTTAAATGCACCAATGAATGCCTCTGACGTCATATCTCCAACCAATTCCAGATGAATGGCTTTAGTAGCCATACATACAAATATAGCAATATAAGCTTTATTTGTTTTCATACCTCTGCCCTTCGATATCAAAATTTGAAATGGACCAGTAAAATCAACTCCGCTCTGCAAGAATGGTCGAGAGGGTGTCACACGTGCTTTAGGTAAATCTCCCATGATCTGGGTTCTAACAGCAACTTTATGTCTCGCACAGATCAAACATTTATTTATGTATCCCTTAATCATACCCTTCCCTCTTACTATCCAGTACTTAGAAGTTAAATACGTCAACATAACTTGTATACCTCCATGTAAAGTTCTACGATGGGCATCAGCGACAATTAAATATGTAAATCTGTTTTTATGATTTAATATGATTGGATGTTTACTCTCTTCATCGATATTAGCGTGTCTGAGCCTTCCGCCCACCCTGAGAATACGTTGTTCATCTAAGTATGGATTTAACGATTTTAGATTGCTGGTTCTTTTTACTGATTTCTTCTTTTCTAATGCTTCTATTTCATCTTCAAAATCTATTTTTTGACTTATTTGTATACATATACGTAATGAATCCTCTAATTCTTGTGTTGTAATAGTATTGTTTATATTTTCTGCCAACAATCTAAACTTTAGAAATCTTTTACAAAATGTTATTACTTTTAACAATTCTGTTAATGTATTATAATTTTCAAATTGTGTATATATATGATTTTCTTTTTCTTCTTCCTTATTATTTATATTTAAGTTTACGTGTATAACCTTTTTCATTTCCTCATCTGTTTGTGTACAACTTGGCTTATGAAAATCTATCTTATGTTCAGACAACCATTTCGGTCCCTTCCACCACAAGTTCGAATTTTGCAAATCTTTAAGATACATACCTCTGGACGCTATGTCAGCAGGGTTGTCTTGTGACTTCACATAGTACCATTGTCTGTTGTTGGTATTATCTATTATTTCTACCACCCTATTAGCAACGAAGGGTTTCCATTTACTGGGTTCTCCAAGTAGCCAAGATATGACAATAGTGGAATCAGTCCACGTAAACACTTGGGACATAGATAATTTCATTGCTTGTGTTACTTGTTTGAGCAATCTTGAAAGTAAGACAGCACCACAAAGCTCTAAACGTGGTAGTGATATTGTTTTCAATGGGGCTACTCTAGTTTGTGCAGCAACAAGTGTGGTTGTTATGGTTCCATCAGAATTTACAACACGACAATATACCACGGCTGCATAAGCTTGCATTGAAGCGTCACTGAAACCATGTATTTCAATAGATTCTTTCTCTTTGTTGAATGTATGTAACCATCTGTCTATACGTATGCCATTTACGTTCTTAAAATCACGTTTTATTGTCCTCCATTCGTCTATTAGTGATTGACTTATCTCTTCATCCCAACTGTACTTTTCCAGCCAAAGTCGTTGTATAAATATCTTTGTCATTACCAACAATGGTGCTATCCATCCTAAAGGATCATAGAGTTTCTGAATATCTGACAGAATACTACGTTTGGTGATATTCATTGACTCGCTATGTGTACTCGAATTGTATTCAAATTTATCAGTTCTCAAGTTCCATGCGATTCCTAATGCCTTTGTAGTACCATCGATATTGAGATCTAAGTGTACATTAGAGGATCTTTCGCTTGGTTTGATAGATCTCATGAATTCTGCATTATTAGATGACCATTTCTTTAGTTGAAAACCACCTTGTTGTAATAAATATTTTAACTCCTTGGCAGCTGCGATAGCATTTTCAACATTATCACAACCCGATAGAACATCATCCACGTAGAAATCCTCTTGAATTATCCTGGTAGCAATTGGATAGTTTTCACCTTCGTCAATAGATAGCTGTACGAGAGTTTTGATAGCAAGATAAGGAGCTGACGCCGTCCCAAATGTTACTGTGAGAAAACGGTAGTCTTTTATAGGTTCATCAGGATTATCTCTCCATAAAACTCTTTGAAAGTCTTTGTCTTCTTTTGCTATCAAAATCATTCGGTACATTTTTTCAATATCAGATACGAAACAAACAGCATGCATTCGCCATCTCATCAACAGACTTCTAAGATCACCCTGTAGTACTGGTCCTAATAAGAGCTCGTCGTTCAGTGAGATGCCGTTTGAACCTTTGCATGAAGCATCAAAAACGACACGCGTGCTAGTAGTCTCCTTTCCTTCACGAATGACTGCAAGGTGTGGTATGTAAATTGATCTTTTTGAATGTATTTCTTCTTCTAGTACTTCTTCTATATGTTTCATATTTTTGTATTCTTCTATCACTTGTGTGTATTTTTCTTTTAATTGTGGTTGTTTGTTGAATCTTTTCTCTAATTGTAAAAACCTATTCAATGCTATTTCTCTTGTATTTCCGTCCGGTGAAACTGGATTCTCTGTCTTAAATGGTAGCTTCACTATGTATCGTCCTTTATCATTTCTTTTATATGTTTTTTCGTAGATGTCTTCACACAGCCTCTCTTCTTTAGTAAATTTTCTTTTAGTATCCATATCTACCTCCCATATGACTTTCAGCATTTCGTCTACATCTACTGCATGATGTGTAAAAATAAAGTTTGATTCTTGAGTACAATTTTCACCAGAATGTACCTCACCAAATAAAATCCAACCAAGACCTGTTTTTAATGCACATGGTGAGCCAGGTGGACCTTTGATTAAATCAGATTGTAATATTTTAGCATATTCTTTGACACCAAGAAGAAGATCTATGGAGCCTGGAGTACAATAACTTGGATCAGCTAGGTGTAATCCTTCTAGGTGTGGCCAATTATGAACAGCAAGTGATTTTGTGGGTATCTTAGCAGTCAGTTGTTGAGACACGACGTATGCTTCTACTTGTATGCTATAATCCGACTTGTATCTTGAAACTACTTTGAACTGAACTACTTGGTTTACATTCGTTTTCATAGATCCCATTCCGATAATACTTCTTTTTGCTGTTGTTCTAGTGAGTTGAAGTAACTGAGTTGCTTTTTCACTTATAAACGATGATTCCGACCCTGGATCTATTAGCGCCCTTAAGACAGTGGTGTGATCGCGTTCACTTCTTACTATCACCATTGCGGTCGCTAATATATCTTCTGCCTAGTATTGCAATTAGACGCTACCATTGTATTGACTCTTATCTCCTCTTGCTCTTCTACATTGCATGGGGATGGTGACACACTCGGTTGTATGGTACCTATTTGACCCGACGTGTCCGGTTTCTTCTGTAAATGTAGAAGAGAATGGTGGCGCTTGTGACATACATGACAGGAAACTGGTGTACGGCATTTCAACACCGAGTGTCCTGGTACTAGACAGTTGTAACAAAGATTATTGTTCTTGGCAAATTCCTTACGTTCCAGGGGGGACAATTTTGTAAACTCCTTGCAATGACATAAGGCGTGGTTATTCTTGCACATGTTACAAGTTTTATTTGGAGTTGTCACGTGGTATGATCTTTCTCTAATAGTTCGCTCTCTAGTGCATGATAATGGTGTAACTAATTCTAATGTACGGAATTGAGATTCTATATTTCTTCAAGTCAGTCCATGAGGGTAGTTCATCTGAATTTTCTTTATAAGAATACGCCTCCCATTGTTTATGTTAAACTTCTGCACGACCAGAAATATGATTATGGGATCCCAAGAATCGGTGGAAATATTCAAATTCTGTAAGTTGTTTATGCATTCAGACGTTGTATCCAACAATGCTTTAATTGAATTAGCTGACTGATTCATAATTTTCTTTTGTGCAAATAGTCGTTTTAAAAGAGAGTTAACTATTAGTCGTTTGTTACCATACCTTTCTTTCAGTGTATTCCAAGCTTGTAGGTAGTTATTTTCCGTCACTTGTATATGTTTTAATAAATTCTCTGCTTCACCACCAATACTTGTTTTCAAATAATGTAATTTTTGTACACTACTAAGCGATGTATTGTTATGCACTAAAGAAATAAATAAATCCTGATAGGCGGGCCACGATTCGTAACATCCTGTGAACAAGGGAATTTGGATTTTGGGTAGCTTCACTTGCACAAGGGTATTGCACACTTTTTTCAGCTAATCGTGACACTGGTAAAGCAGATAACATATCCTTAGGTCCGCTTCCAAGCACAAATAAATATCTTCATGTACATAGTATTCTTCCTTCACGAAGTATGGTAGTATGACGCGTTGTTCTTTAGTCGTAATGCGTAATAATTCTTCATGCGATTTTTTGAAAGTTTTCCAATAATCTTCTATGCACTTTAACCGCGACTCGATGTATCCTTTTGTTAATCGTGATTTCGGGCATTTTTTAAGATTTATTTGCGATTTTTTAAATAGATTTCCTGTATCTTCAAGTACACTGATAATTTGTTCCAAAGACGTAGCCATATTTTTTCAATAATCTTCCAATTACTAATTTAAGCAATCTTAGTACTAATTGCTTAGTGAATAAAGATCATTAAATTTGTAAATCTTTATAAGAATACCACTCGGCGATGTGCTATTTTTGTTCGATGCGGTTCTATTGTTCTCGCGAAACGGGTCGATGAAGCGGTAATAAACTAATAATCCGGCTCGATTACGGCCATATGTTGATGTGTTAAGGTTCACTTTTCAATATCAATTTAAGGTGCAAGAAAACACACGTCTTTACTGAAATGGATATATTTTCAACTAACTTCAATTTCATAACATTGTTGCTTTTAAACCTACGACGAGACAATAGTAATAGAATGGCATGAAGTTAACCAGTGTTTGTTTCTATTGTTGACATTATAAGTAAATTACGTTAACACAAACCAATAGCGCATGGGAGAGGCAATTGTTACTAATGGAGCCTAGGTAAGCGCAAGGGATTGTTAATAAATGACCTCCCTCTTTATTCCCCTTTCCCCTGAAACCCATCATGGTTAATTCGTCTCAAATTCGTCATGATAGGCCAACTAGCTTTTATCCTCATCTATTATCTCTGGTGGTGTACCAGCATATACAGTCAGCATATATAATCGATAACGCAGGTGACACTACCATTCCATATTTACCCATTGAAAGACTTCTCCATTACTGGCACTATACCCATTCAGGTTGACTTCCAAGTGGTTTCCTTTAGGAACTGTTGTGGTTAATTCAAGCTGTATTCGTCACGATGGGACAACTGACTGACAACGGGAACCGCGAGGAGGTTGACCTGGTTGGGTATATTGCTAGTAATGGGATTCTCAGTCTCCATTACTAACAATCCCTTTCCCCCATTTTTATATATGTTATGTACTAGTAATTTCCTAGGTGAGCGTATTGGAAGACTGTAAAGCACATCTAGTGAATATAATGTAATAAATAAATAAATAATAGAATAGATATTTAAATTCCATATTATTATCTCAGAACAGCGCGACTCCATTCACTGAACTGTTTTAACAGTAACTCTGTCCGTTCATTCCCACGTTTCGATTCCTTCGCTCTCTGCCCGACATTTGAAGGGTTATAACTAATTATTTGGTTATTTTTTATAGGCACACAAAACGCATTTACCCGCCTGTGTAATTTAATTTAAGAAAATATTATTCTGTTACAATTTATTACTCTGTGAACCAAAGACAAGTCGGAATGTGAAGTGCTCTCTTAACATTAAAGTCGCTGGTTCCATTTCCGTATTACATAATCTGTTGTTTTTTATAAAAAAAAATATACAATTAAAGATGACGTCCCGTACATTGTTGCTTCCGTTTAAAATTTTGTACTTATTTTTTTTTTTAAATAAAAAAATTTAATCGATGTGAATTTTTATAAATAGTTATATTTTATTATAATAATTGTTATATTTTATTTACAAGGTATGTAAATAAGTGATTTTGAATTTTCCATTTTTTTTTATCTGACCTACCTATGTCATTGTTAAAAGTTAAAAGACTGCATACCGTTGACATCGCGTGTCATAGACAAACTCTTTCGAACGGCGGAAAAAGGCGGGCTTTGGTGCACAAATTCCGAAATGGCGGCGGCGAGATAAAATGATAAATCTTTGTGATTTAATCTTTTATGACTTCAAACACACAAAAGATAGATATAATATAAAATAATATAGAATAGAATGGCTGAATGTGTTGCTGAGCGCAAATCTCGAGAACAGCTGAACCGATTTCGGTATTTCTTTCTTAGAATATTCCTTTAAATACGAGCATGGTTCTTACGGAGAGAAAATTTTTAAAAATTACCTGAATAAGTTCAGAAACAGTATTATTCTATACTCCCATACGAATGATTTGTAATAATACTTAAAATAAAATTTGAACTTTAATGCTATACTGTAAAGTTCAAGTGTTAGTGGAGAGGTAAAAACTATTGAGTGACGTCAGTATCGTATCCGAATAGCAGAAAAAGTATTAAAAAAACTAAAAAATTAAAGAATCGACTGTTAGGCGGTGCGAAGTTCGCCGGGTCAGCTAGTATATATATATATATATATATATATATATATATATATATATATATATATATATATATATATATATATATATATATATATATATATATATCTGATCTTCTTACTACTTAGTGTTAGCAGCATTAGCTTAAAATTTATATTTCATGGAAGGGAGGAAGGGACTGTTAAAAATACGGACTTCCAGTCTCATTGCTTACATTCTTTGATTATATAGATAGAGCACCCAGTCTCAAAAACGGGTCAACTTTTTGTCAGCTAATTGTCAAATTAGCTGACTCGTTTTTTTATTAGTGTTCTATCTAAATACTTACGCACATAATGTATCTTGATGTATCTATATTTAATAAATGAAATTAATTTAAAAAATAAATATGGAAGTTCTAAAGGAATCATTCATAACTATTTATCACGCAAAATTGTATGAAAAAGTTGTCCCGCTTTTCTCGAAGCATTTGTATGGAGACACTCTTTCTATATAATCTAAGCTTACAATATACCTTATCGACCTCCACATATCGCTAGCTATGGGGCAGTTACCCCCCATTACTAACAAACCCTATCTCTTCAATGCATCAGTTTGGGAGTTATAATGCTACAGATAGATATAAAGATACGTTAAACTTATAACACCCCTCTTTTTGCGTCAAATTTTAAAAATGGAACGACAATATTTTCGAGCGTTTACCGCGCTAACACGAAACGCCTAAGACCATAGATAAGATTTCAAAATGTCGTCGGCGTGATAAAAACGCTAAAACAAGCGGCCGCTATGTTCCCTTTCGCGGTTTAATGGGCGATACGTTTATCGTGCGGCCATTTTATCGTGCGATCCGACGCGTTTGTGGTTGATACACGATAGAACGCCGACCGCAACGTTTAATACAAATGTTTCCAAAGGGAGCAGACCCTCTAGACAAGTGGCTTGCGAAATTCGTCGATGGAATGGATGGAGGGCCAGGTCGTCAATTCGGTTTTATTTTTGTACTAGTTTTATGCCCGCAACTTCGTTCATTCGTAGAGAGTCTACCATGAAATGAAATTCCAAAATTTCGGACTTAATTTCGTATTTTCGTTTATACTGAAATCGATCAAGCAATTAGTTCGTCATAAATTCTAGCACAAAAGTCCAAAGGAATGATACTTTAAACGGTATGTATTATGTGATTTTAACATCAAATTTGTGTTTCGTTCGGCTTCGAAATTTCAGAAAACATTTCATGGTAGATCCTCATAAGTAGGAAAACCAATGCAATAGCCCACTTGTAGATGGCGTATCAAGATAAAGCCTACATCAGTTTTTTATTTAGACCTTCAGGAACACAACTAAAAACTACATCCAATTTGATGCAGCAGTTTTTGTATAATACTCGAACAAACATACAGATAGATCTACAAAATTTCTAAAAACCTAGTGTTCTAATTTTATAGTTTTTATTATGACCTGTCATAATATTTTTTCTTAAATATCTCCCATGTACAGACATCGTGTAGTTACTATTTTATTATATTAGTAAAATTAATAATATCTGACGTTTGATTCCAGAGGGAGACTTTGTACAAAAGTCGATTGCTTGGGTACCTCTGTCCCATTCGTGTTTCTACCGTGAAGCAGTTGTGTTTGCATGGCTGTGTTTCGGTTTGAAGGGTGGG